TTTTTTTTTTTGCTTTTCATTTCTGAAAGGAACCTCCGTGATGATCGCGGGGCAGGGAATACTGCACAGACTTCTGACAACTTCTCAAAGAGGGCATATACTTAGATTTTGTATGTAACCGGTTACACGTCCATATTGGGGCGCTTTTTTTTTTTTTTGCTTTTCATTTATGAAAGTAACGTCCGTGATGAACGTGGAGCTGTAAACGCCCTCACTGAGGGCATGCTCTCACACTGACCCATGATTCTGTATCCAACTACTTTCTCGTCCATAGCGTTGTGGTGTTTTTTTTTTTTTTAAGTTCTTTTTTCTTTTTCACGTTGTTCTTTTGGGAGGAGCGTGAGAAAAGAAATTACAACCGCACCCAGACTCGACAAAACTCGGTGCGCAGTGAAATTCAGGTTCGTTTAAATCAGGTGCGGGTGTACTTGTGGTTTAAGGAGAGGAGGGGAACCAATATCTCCTTACTTTTTTGGGTAATACATGTAAAATAAATATTGAATGTGGGATCACGAGGGCTGCACGGTAGGATTTGGCTCACTCAACTGCCACACAAACTTTTTTTCTATCCTATCCAGTTGCTAGTGGGACCATGGTCCAGGTGCCAGTGGTGACTGCTTTTATCAGCATCACTATCACTGGCGGGGGTCTTTGTCCAAAAAAAAAAAAGGATTTGGCCCGCCGGTTGGAAATGCACCAAATCGGCGCGGCGAATATTTCACAGTTAAAATGATTTTTTATTTTTTTTTAAATATTTTTCCTTGAAAGATCACGACCTATCCTATGGACCCTCAAATTTGCCGACATTTTGATGAACTCTTCTGAGCACAAAAAATCGGCAAAGTTGCCGATTGCAAATGGCGGGATTTGAACCGCTGGTTGGAAATGCAGCAAATCGGCGCGGCAAATATTTCATGGTCAAAAATATTTTATTATTTTTTTGTAATATTTTTCCCTGAAAGATCAGGACCTAACCTACGGACCCTCAAATTTGCAGACATTTTGATGAATTCTTCTGAGCACAAAA